TGCTGAACCTAGTGGTGGGGTCGGCAAGGTGTGGGGTGGCCACTTGAACTGAACTTTGCTCCAAGTGCATGCCACCTCCAACCCAGCCTGCACAGCTGCTGGAGCCCTAGAGCCCCTGCTGCCCAGGCAAACTCCTCCCTCCTGAAATGCACAGAAGCCCCCCACCCTGTGTCTGTGGGCCATATGAAAAGGCTCTGCAGAATTGCAGACCTCTGGTAGTGCATTTGATTTAGAGGAGAATGTGAAAGCTACACAAAACAGCTCAAATAAGTTTGGGGAGTTTGCAGAATTGTTCAACTCAGATGTAGACATAATTCATTCCAGCCAAAGGATTTGGGACAAGCTGTAACAACTTAGAAGTGCATAAAATTTATGGGAAGAGTATGGCTTAAAACAAAAAAAAGAAAAAGAAGAAAGAAACTGCCCTGTTAAGCATATTATAAATGTTATTTAAATATTGTACCTGAGGCTGCTAACCATTTGAGAAAAACATGGCTGTTAAATTTGAGGTTTATCTGCCTGCAATTTTGGAACTAGGGTGGTGGATCATGCTGCCTGTGCTATAAAACCGAGATGGTTAAAAGCAAAGGCTAAGTTTTAGTTCTTTGAACAATTATCAAACAATTCTTTGAACAATTATTTTTCAGTACTGTTCAAGATGAAAAAACAGAAAATGGAAGTTGTTAGGAATAGAAAGCAATATTTTAGAGAATCACTTTCTTGCTGCTTTTTGGGTTTAATATGGACGATAGGACTTGTTGCTGTGTGGCTTTTTTTGTGTGTTTTCTTACCAAAAGAAGAAATGAGGCCTAATGAGAGAGTTTATTCCCCCTCTTTCATTATTGAACACGTAAGAGGACTGCTATTTGATCTGGTAGATCAGATTAAACCCCCAAACTAGCAGTAACATTTCTAGAAATAGCTCGGTGATATAGATTGAAAGAAGCCATTCCAAATTAGAGAGAGCTGTCCTTACTTTGGTATGTTTCTTCTTCAGTTTGTGTGTGCACCTTTTTTAACAACTTTTATGTAATGTTGTAAGTCTTTTAGTCCTTTTTTGCCTAATTTGCTGAGCAGTAGGTGGCTATGGAAGAAATACAGTAAAATGTAGGAAGTAATAAGAATAACTAACATATCCTAAGCGGTCTTCTTACTCCTTCCCTATTCCTCTTATTGTTTCTATATTCTTGACATACACCTACCCCGACCATTATATTTTCCCCTATAGTTCCTTTGCCTTGCCTTGTTTTCTGAATATTTGTGGAGCTATACCTGATGCTCTGAGGTTGTGCTCTTCATCTCTTTAGTCTTTCTAAATTTTGGCTGCAAAGTGGAATTTGATCTCATTCTAGGAAGCTGTGGCTTTTTTTTTTTTTTCTTTTCGACTTGCTCATACTACAAAGGCAGCTTGGGAGAGCAGCACTACACAAGTGAAACAGGACAGTGGGAATAACATTACTCTACCTAGGGCATTATTTCTGATTTGCTTTGTGAGCTCAGTTAGGGTATAATTACTGGAGTAGGTAAAGATGTCCCATGTTTACCAGTATTTCATTAACCAAGTTGTTGCTCCTGTTTTCAGAAAGCTCTTTGTAAACGAGTGGGTGAAAAGAAGGGAGATGGCTCTGGGTTTCTGGTGCTATTAGCTTGAACTCTGCAGTGACGAACACCTCGGCTTCTCTCTGGAGTGAAGACGCCACTTGGCTCCCTCTAAAATATCTAGGGTAGCAGTTGGCAACATTTTTAGGTTGCGGGCCAGAGTGACCCAGTTGGGGTCAGAGGCATGTGGACAGGCAGGCTCTAGGACCCAGGCACTGTTACCACTTCTCCTTGCGGAGGCCTGAGAAGAGTGTGGGTTGCCAACCCCTGATGTAGGGACAAAATACAGTAATGTCCTTTTCACAGATTTGGGGAACGGGCAGGGCAGCAGCAGGGTCCTTGCCTGCCTCCTGGCCTGGTGGGAGTAAGAAACTCAAAGAAGGGAGCTGCTGAGCTGGCAGGGAGCAGTACTCCCTTGTCAGCTTTCAGATCAAAGACCTGAATTATCCCTATCCTTTATTTACAAAATGGGGTGGGGAAGAGGGAACCCGGTCTCTTCTATGCACAGGGTGAGAGAGAAACCTGTTGATATGATAGATTTTCTTTGTAGGACATGATGGAAGGTCTTGAAACCTGTGATTTGTGGCAAATGCCTTTGGAATGGCAGGTCTGGTGAACATAGTTAGGATGACCATATATCCCAGTTTTCATTGGCTGTCCTGGCTTCCCAGCTGGTTGGTGTAAAATGAAGCAAAAGTTGTGGATTTGGCCGCTGCCAGCAGAGGTTGCTGCCACCCTCTTTGTGTGACCCAGCTCCTGCTGAGCAGTGGCTGGAGGGGAGGAGGTGGGCCAGGGAAGGAGGCCAGGGCCAGAGCTTGGGCACCTTCATGGGGCAAGCCAGGATGGTGGCCCATCCCTAGCAGCCTCCTGCCCTGTTGCTGTGGCTGCTGCTGAGGCCTGGGCTGCATGTAGCGACTGCGATCCGGGGTGGCTGCTAGTGGCAGGGGGGAGGGACTGTTCCTAGCGGAGTTCAGCCTTTGCATATAAGGGGTGGAGCTTGGCTGTAGGCTATCCCTCCCCACACTGCCTTACCCCATCCCAGATTCCTTTAACTATATATGGTCACCCTACCCATAGTGTTGTTTCTTTTGAAGCTTTGCTTTCAAAACTTGTCTCAAGAGTGGAACTGTGTTTGCATAGGTGAGCACAACATGCTCTTTCTAATGCATTTACCTAGCCATTCTTTTGTAATGGCATGGCAGAAGAGACTCTTGGAGAACTTTGGAGGGAGATATGGACTGATCTGTAAAGCATCCTGAAGTGTTTTAAGCAATTGAGTGCAACAAGGAAAGCGTGAAAATTCTTGAGAAGGGTGAACAAATTGCTGATTGAATTGGGGGAGGAAAAGGGGTGACCAATGGTGCCATAAAATAGTGAAGTTAGGAAGTGGATTGGGTGTGAAAGGCTGCAAAAAGAAGGACTGGAAGTCTCTCTTTGCAGGGAAGAAAGGAATGATGTAGCAGTGTGGTAGTGTGTTGAATAGAGCTGAAAAGGGCATAGTGGATTACAATCACAAAGATGAGACATGGAAAGCGGAAAGGTTGGTTCTTCACAATCAGATGTAAGAAGGGGCAAGTCTTGGAGAGGTACAGCCAAGCAACATGTAAAGAAAAGCTGAGGTTGAAGAGAATGCCCAGTTATTGCCTTTCATGGCTGAGAAGATAATGTTAATCCATTATTCCCACTCCTGTCGTCAGTGACTAGTTCTGGCTGTGTTAGGTGTAACTTGGGTATAGGGTTGGATGCTGGCAGATGACCAGAATGGAACGTACATACCCTGCTATTAGTGACTTGTCTTCTAGATTCGTGATACTTAACTGGAATGCAGCAGCACCCTAGGGTGCTCTAAAGTCCTTTTAATGGTGCTCTGGGGTGCCCTTCTCTGGGTGGCCCTAGTCTGTGCTTGTCTACAGCCTGGGGGGGGGGTGTGTGTGTGTGTGTGTGTGTGTGTGTGTGTGTGTGTGTGTGTGTGTGTGTGTGGCTTGCCCAATTTGACAGGAAGGTGGTGTGGCTTCTCACTTGCTCTGTTCTGGGCCTGCCTGCCACACATGCTGAAGGACATGGCCAGCTGATTCCACATCAGGTCTGCATGATGGCTGTCTGTCTGAGTTGGGGATTGCCAAACTAATATAGCCAGGTTCAGTCCTCTGCCCCTCCCCCCCAGTCTCTGCTTCCCAAAGGCCCCCTCCTCCCTGTGTGCTAGGTGGGCAGTCTGGAACCTTGTCCCTGTCAGCTGGGCATACCCAGCATCCAGGTCCTACCCTTAGGCATCCCTCCTTCCATTACAGCCATGAGGCTCTGGTTTGTGGGGGTGGGCAGATGGAATTGCCCTGGGGTTAATTAAGGGAAGAAAATGGCCCACTGGTCCCTGGTACCCAAACATGCACAGGGCTGGCCAGAGCCAGGGAACGTTCCCCACTGGCAGCCTGAAGAAATTTTATACTATTGTAGAATAACAATTTATAATTGCATCATTAATTAATATACAATTAATTAAAGCCTGTATTATAATATTTATGCTGTATTTATATTAGTTGTGAAATAGGGTGCTGCTAAATTGTGAAAACTTACAAAGGGGGGTGCCTTTGAGGCTAAAAGTTATTAAAATGCTCTGGTGGATCCTCAGTACAGTAAAAGCCTTGTTATCTGGCATTTTACTAACCGGCATTTCTATTAACCAGAATTTCTGGGGGGAGTGGGTTTGTATGCTGCTGTTTCCACCCTGTGCTGCAGCCACTCTGTATGCAGTTGCCATTACCTCCACCCCCTGCTCCATGTGTGGCCATGGTGCCTGCCCCCCTCCCCCCTGTCTAGCCAGAAACCCCTGTGTCTCAGGTAACCAGCATTTTTAGATTACCAGCACCCCCATTCCCTACTCATGCCAGAAAGCAGGGCTTTTACTGTATTTTGCCTCTCAGGGTACTTTCTGGAGGAGTAACATTTACATACTTTTCCACATATTACATGTAGCTTGTAATAGGTATGCATTACTTTTAGTATGTTTTTACTTTGTTTTCTGTAACTTTTGTTAGGTTTGGACATGCATCTGAAAATTGTGCTGCTATCTTCTGTGCTTTCCCTTCATCCCACCTGAAAGTGTGCTGTGTATGTGCACTTTGCAAAATTGTTCTGATTCCTTTAGGCTCTTGCCAGGTGAATTGGAAGTGGCTGGTAAACACCAGGGCAAATTAGAGTAGAAATGTAGCAATGGCTAACTTTGCATTTAAAAAAAAATCCTACCTACTTAAGATTTTGCCTGGTATTTGAGCTAATGTATACTAAATATCCAGGGCTATTTTGTTTGTTTCAGATGACAAAAAAGATATTGACCATGAAACAGTGGTGGAAGAACAGATCATTGGAGAGAATTCTCCGCCAGATTACTCAGAGTACATGACAGGAAAGAAACTTCCTCCTGGTGGCATACCTGGCATTGACCTGTCAGACCCCAAACAGCTGGCGGAGTTTGCTAGGTAAGTTGCAAGAGAGCATTAGTTGAAACTTTATTTTAAGATGAATATCATTCCATTCTGGGCTTCCTCAAATCTCAAAAAAAAAAAAGGAACAAAGGAAAAAAAAAGTTTGAATATGTGGTAGGTAGACATAATAATAGACTTCTGTCCATTGTGATTTTTAATATCTTAGGTAAGAACATTTAAAGCAGGGAATTGTGTAACGGGAGTTTAGATCTTTGAAAGCAAGGAGTATTGACAGTACTGTACTACAGGGCTGCATGGAGTGTGGAGCTGTAGATCTTAGGGCTTAGTCATCCTCCCCCCACTACACGCACCTTGCAGGCAGCCTGGCTCCCCCTACCATGCACACAACACCCCTACCCCTTTCCTGGCCAGGCATGTTGCAGAGGCAGCACACAGCGTGGGGATCCTAACATCCCTTTGCCGCACAGCACAGGGAATTTGGCCCTGTCCTATTGTACCACCTTGGCCCTAGGAGTAAGGGCAGGAACCAGAAGCTGGAGGAAGAAGAGGCAGCGTGGAGACCCTGGCTGCTGCAGCTGGCAAGAGCAGTGGGCAGAGTGGCAGCCAGTTGGGAGGCCACAGGCCGCATGTTGGCCAGTTGGACAGCCTTGCTGTGACACATTTCAGATATGAAAGCCTTTTAAATCTGTTTTGAATCTATGCCAGAACTTCTGGTCTTCATTTCTTTTCAGCCCAAAAGTACTAATAATGTTGATGAACTCAATCTGTAGCTTATCGGCCTTCAAATGGCTAGAGAAAATCTAAAAATGCAAATGAGGGGGTGGCACTTCCTTTGACCAGACCAATCACTCTGTTGCTCAGGACAATACGAAAAGGCTAGTATTCAGTCTGAACTTCCATTCAGTTATTTCATCTGTAATCAGTTCAACCTGTAGTGGTTTTCACTGGTTCTACAGCTCACTTCTATTGCTTCACTATCTCAACTGGAATAGGATACCAAATTCAGGCTATTGATATATTTCTTAGTAAAAGAAAACCACTTTCATTTTGTTTGCTTTTATTATTGCCTCTTAAAGCCCACACAAGTAGAATGTTAGGTACTGAGTCAAGCACTTGAAAGGTTAGGAAATTCCAGAACTAATGTTGCCCGTGCAGTATTAATTGGTTTCTCTTGTGTGTGCATTTTGTCAGTGTATCTAATTAAGTGCACAGTTTCTTTCTTTCCACAAGGTTGTAGTCTCATAAAGTGCAGCTTTATGTCTGGGGTTTCCTCAGTTTTGAGCATGTAACTATAAATCTTCAATATTTTTTTCTATAACTTGTAATTTTATTTTTGTATACAGTGGGAAAACTAAATTCTCTCTGCAAAACCAGGGTCATCATCAGTTAGGCTTTTCAGATCCACAGCCCAGACTTCTATGACTTGAGCGAACAAACTGGTAGTAGTTACCTCACCCCCATAAGTAACAGGTATGGGGGTGGGAAGAGATGAACCTTTTATTAGTGAAATTCACAGCTTTTGTCCAGATGCCAGAAGGATCTTGACTATGAAATCCAGTATTCTTCCAAGTTCTTGAGAGGAATGTGTGTAGACCTTTTCTGTCTGATCATGTTCCTTTAGCATAGTTTCTGTTGCTGTCAGCCTTTGTCATCACCTCTACCCTGTGCTACCAAAGCACTATTGGTTAAGCACTGACAGCATTTGACTGTGTGCATCTCTGATGCTATATTGTCCAGGAAGCTGGAAGGTGTAACTGCAGGAATACTGTGCTCATTTCCATGGTAGAATATGGCAGAATCTGAGGGTGGTACATGTGATGTTTGGTAGGTATAGAGTTTTGTGGCAGTGAAGCATGGAAAGTGTATGCAGAATCCCTGCTGGCAGCTTGGAGCAGATCTCTACAGGGGAGGTCTAAACTGCTTATCCCATCCCTTCCCCAAGCAGTTTATAGTAGCTTTTTGCAGGCCTAGTAAAAGGTACCATTCTGACATTAGTATTTTCCCCCTCCCAGCGTAATTCCCTGCACTGGACCTTGCACGAGCTAGAGCCTCTCAATGAAATCATTGTAAGAAATTCTTTTTAGCTTGAGAACTTAATGTGGTGCTTTCCACGTTCTCATTTGAGAATCTTTGAACGTTTCAGGATACAAATTTCAGCCAAATTACCCTGAGGTAGGCAGCATAAAAAAGTCAGCCTTCATATTTGGGCTTGCCAAGCTGAGGTTTTGTTGCAGTTGTTTGTTTTGTTTTTGGTCCAAGATGTATCTGTCTATACAGAACATTCCACAGTTGCTTTTTTGAAGCAGTGCTGCTTGTGTTGGATTCATCCATGTATTGATCCTAAAGAACTAATTTCAAAACATTAAATATTTGCTTTGACTTTTAAACCGTCAGTTTAACAAAAATCTTATTTTTGTTACTATTCAGTTAGGATCTGCCTTTTTATGTGAATGTTTAAAAAATATTTCGCAAGTAATTTTTTAAAGAAGTCTATCTGTTTATATGCTATGGCCTTCTCAGCAGCATCTGAACATCATAAGGATACTATTTAAAAAAAAAAAAAAGCCCCAAAGTTGATTTACCTACAGTTTATATGTTTGCTGTAACTAACGCGAGCAGGTCAGACTCTGTTGATATACATTTGTATATGACAGATTGGATATGTCGCTAATTCTCAAACTTCCCTGCATCTTGTACCCCTTTGGGGTTATTACTGTCCAGTAATATTTTCATAATTTTGCTATATGAGGAAACAAGAAAACTGGCCAAAGATGGCTGTTCAGTGTACAACATGAACAAAGATTGTAGTTCTTCATATGTAACAATCCATTTGCTACTTGTTAATATAAAATGTCAAATGCATGTGATATAAATTGATGGTACCCAGCAGATATTTAGACTTCAGCCACTTTTTTGTTTATTTTTGCCTGGTGTTGTATAGGTGCAGTGCTGCCATGCTGGCTAATGGCTCTATTCATTAAATTGATGGGGGTAGTGTAGTAGTGACTTCCAGGAGTCACTACTCAGAAATAAGCCACATTCAGCTTGCTTAAGCATAAAGCTGCTTTTGATTTAGGGCCATATTTACTGGGGCATCTGCATTGATTCCTGGAAACCAACTTTGATAAATTCAACACTTCTTAAATATTGGCCAACCTGATTTCTTCCTTTTGTGACCTGCTGTTTAGAATACTTGTAGGTGAAGGTTACATTCATGTTTAGTAGCAGTCGAATTCAGGTAGGATTTTGGGATTTAGGTAGCTCCCCGTTGTTTGAATTTTTTAGGTGCCATTGCCTTTCAAAATAAAATGTCCTAATCCTTTGGATACTTCTAGTTGCTGAGCAGCAGGTGGCGCTGGTAGAGTGAATAGCCACATTGTCTCATAGCATGTAATTGTCATGTTGTTTTATTTTGTGTGTTCAGTTCTTGCTGACTCGTGCAACAGGAATCTTAGACACACTATTAAACATAGTTGGAGTATAGCTATGCATGGGAAGTAGCTTATCTGCTGTCATGAAAAGACAACTAAGATTGCACCATAGCAATGTGTTGGGTTGAACTGCACTGTCCAGTCGCAGTATATTCTATCATGAACAAATGACAATAACTGTAAAATGGCCATACCACTTAATCCTTCCTACAACATTTTTTGAAAGTACTGGTAGAGTTTGTTACAAGATCACAGAAATGTTAACGGACTCAAACTGTGTGGCTGATAATTTTCCAGATTTAAAAAGTAACCCAAAATCCACGTTTTTCTCTGATTAAAATGAAATATCAGTCATGTATGTGTATACATGAGTGGCATTTCATTTTAATCATGGAAAAATATGGATTTTGGCTTCCTTGTTTAAATCTGAAATTTGGGGATTGTTTTATTGGAGAGAACTAGGATCCCTGGTGAGTAATCCCTTTTAAATTGGAGGCATCAAACTCAGTGGGTCCCATGGACCAGATCAGTGATATGAAACCTGTTCTTGGGCTGGGTCAGACCCATGGACCAGCTCCATGTTTGGATCTAGTGCACAAGGCTGAGGCCAGTACCATAATGCATGTGTGTCCAGTCTGAGACCCATAAGCTGCACTGTGGGCTGGACAATAGGGCTCCTTAGAATGGATCCAGCCTGCAGGCAGTATCTCTGCCCCTGCTTTAAATTCAAGAAAATGCTTAGTTTTAGTCTGATTTGGAGTTAAGCCAAATGCTTAACCAAGTGAGATGGCTGTAATTCTGGCTATTATGAAAAGCAGTTGGTTTTGTTTTGCTTTTATTCCCTACCTTCAAGAAAACCCAAAACTTGGTTAGTAAAGTTAGCATTACTGATTTTTCCAGATATTTTACAGGCTCTGGGGTTTAAAGATAGCCAGGCACAGACAGGGTTGTTAAGTGGAGACATAATGGGGGACAGGAATAAAAGGGTACAATTCATCCTAGCCTTGAATCTGAATAGTTTCCATTCTCCCTTGCCTCCTTGTTCTCTGGTGTATTCTTTTTGATCCCTCTTTTTTGTCATTTACTTTGTTCTATCCCCTTGTGCGCACACGCCCCATATCGCAATAGCTTTATTTCTTTAGACCTTGCTAGCTGTGTTTGAATGATGGTCAGCTATGACCATTGCCCTTGATATTGACCTAAGCTCCCAAAGGAATAGAAACTCAAAGAAGTCAATGTCAGCAGTGCTATTCTTGCCACTGCCTAAAGTGCTCTGGTCACTAATTTTGGTAGAACCCGGGAGGCCTTTATCTGTGATCTGCACTGGTATGGTATCCTTTTTCTCAACCAAAGAGAACTTGAAGTATAGTAAACCTGAAAAGAATTTCTTTTCTAAGAAAATATGTACAAAAGGTGTAGGGGTCAAAATAGGGTTTCTCTCTCTGTTGCACGAGAGAATGACATAATAGGACCCCTACAGGACAAACTAGGGCAGTTGGTGACCGGGGGGGAGCGCGACAAAGCTGAGCTCTTCAGTGAGTTCTTTGCATCTGTATTCCTAGACACAGACCAAGACAAATCTCCCAGTTGGATCATAGATAG